ACACTTGAGGTGGGATATCGGTAGGGTTAGAGATGGGTTTGGTGGTATGGACAGGTGGGTTAAGGTGTAAGGGATGGTCAGCAGTGTAATTAAAGAAATTAATTACAAATGTAGTTACATGCTCATATTTAATCAATCATAAGTACACTTTAAATTGTATTTATAGAGTAAGTACGTTGTAGCAAATTATTTATTTCAGTGTAAGGACATATTAGTTAAAGTTTAAGGCTATAGTTCAGTCATTTTCGTCAAATATATTATGGATATATTAAGCATGCATCCGCCTATGCAGGCATGCATGGAGGGAACAGAACAGAACCTAAAAGCGTTCATAAACTACTTAAATTAATTAAGAGTTCATGTAAATGCCAGTGACATGAGGCTGATTGCTGCTTACTAGGCTATTACTACGAACTGATTGCAGAAATGACCTAGGAGGAGTTTGGGATGGTAGAGGGAGTGATCAGAACCGGATTTGTACGCATTATGAACAGCTGATGCAAGTTTAACTGACGTGTCCGACTAAACTAAGGCCACGCTCCATTTATATTACAATAATTTCTGGGATTTTGTTCATTAAAAATATAAATGACTATACTTTATACATTCCCGCTCTAAAAAAATGACTCTTACTTGGTTTAATTGAGTTAAATTTGACTGAGTATCTTTGACTAATCTTACATCAGTTAACTTGTCAGTATCATGTTAAATTTACCTAATTTAAATTTACTATCATGTTAAATATTTAAGCGAACACTACTAAATAAAGTAAAAGTCATTTGTTTATACGTATTTACTTTTAAATAAGGATTCAAGTAAATGAATCAAATAAAGTTACATATTTTTTTAGCAAAACAAACTTTGCTTTTATAAATTTAATAAAACTTATTAGTTAAAAGTTAGTATAGATTTTTTTGTCTCGTTTTACGCTTGACCAACTAAATGAATGCCAAAGTTTATTCAACTGATTGTATTTTATTTACATTACAACATCGATGCTGTAAACGGAATCGTAAAAAAATGAAATAAAGTCACATTAACCACTCACCAAAAGTTTATTAGTATGGGAAGTAACACTAGCTACGCATATACCCTATGGTTTTGTCGTGTTCTTTGCTTACCAAGTCAATACTTTTTGATTAAAGTTTACTTAATATTACTAGGTTTTTAGCAATGATTGGAAAACATTAAATATTACAAGTAAATGAGTACTATTATTTAACTCTTTCCACTCAGTCTGATTAATGTATGAAGTAAAATAAAATAAATAAATGCTTATAAAAGACAAAAAATTATACATAAGACAACATTTTTTTAGCCCTTTAATAAAATAGTTTCATTTCAGTTTTCAAGTCAAACAGATTTTTGCCAATCGAAAAAGAGCATTTGTTTTGTTTCGCATTGCGTAATGTCTTTGTGTGTGTGTGTGTGTTGTGGAGATTCAGACTCCTGAAGGAAAGGTGTGGGTGGTTTTGGGGTGTTTTCCAGCATTGTAATGTCGGACTGTTATGCAATCAGGAATAACATTCATCTGATAATCAGGCTGTGTTTCTATTTATTCAGCTCTCTTTTCTGCGTATTTGATTGTTGATCTTTAAATGTTGCGCCAAGTTTTTTTATACAGCTCTAAAATAGACATTATAAGCTATATAAAGGACTTCAGATTTGACACTGTAGGTAAGTCTTTTGAGTTAAATGTTCAATTGTGATTTATTTTATTAATTGTTGATAGTATATCCTTAAAATTTAGTTTACGGAATGTATTTGCGGGAATTAGGAAGAAGGTCTAGGGCTGGGCGATTAATCAAAAAGTAATCAACATGATGACATTCACAACCTATAATCGATTTAATTTTTCCAAGTCTATTTTTATTATTACTTTCCCTACCATGTGTGGAGTCACCTGCGCCCGCTCTGTTAAAGCTGATTTATACCTCTTCAAAAATGTACGCAACGCCACGTAGCGCAAGCTCTGTGATTGGTCGGTTTGATATTGGTTACGTTCATGTGCGGCGTGGTGCAAGTTATTAATTTCAACTATTTTAAAATCAAGTAATGCACCCTTCAATCAGAAATCTCTCACTTGTAATATGTGTGCATATTTACTGTACAAAACTTTCAGTAAACTATGAGGGCAGACAAATAAAATAAATAAATTAATAAATAAATAAATAAATAAATAAATAAATAAATAAATAAATAAATAAATAAATAAATAAATAAATAAATCATTCATTAATAGTATACGAGTTAAAATGTTCAATCAATCCAGATTTAGATTTTAGGCCAGATCGCCTAGCCATATAAAGATCTATATTTCATTTATTGTTATCATTCAACAATTAAAGGTCAAATATTCTATGTTTGAAGACCTTAAATATAGAAGAAAATAATAGTAATAATAATAATGGAAGGTTTAATAAAATTAAAATAATTTCTGCTGCTTGATTTGCCGTCTTAGAAATAGTTAGTTCAGTAGAAATAAAATACAAATGAAAATATATTATGCAGGCATATTTTACACAGAATAATAAAAGAGGCAACAACACAAAAATGACTTAAAATTGAAAATAAAAACTAATTTAAACTATAAATACAATCATAATAAATAATACATTTTTATGAAATTTACTAGACATTTCTGAGTTGTTAATGTATATTATTGAAGTATGTTTTTATACAATACTAATATGTACACGCTCTTTTTTTCTTTTATTGATGTATTTTTTTGTTTCTCAATGTATTTTTTGGTCTTTTTTATGTAAGCTTTATTTTCACAAAAATGTAAAGTGGTGTAAAGTTCTTCTTTTATATAAGCTATTTTATAAATATAACTTTTTATAATAATATTATTAATTCCATTACTACTACTACTACTACTTTTACTAATAGTAATAATAATAGGAGGTTTAATGAAACTAAGGCCATTAACCTAAAATACTTTGCCATTCTGTGAAATATTTAGATTTTTCGTTTAGTTTCATTCATTCATTATCTTTTTGGCTTAGTTAATCAAGGGGCCCACAGCAGAATAAACACAGTGGATGATCTTCCAGCTGCAACCCATCACTGCGAAAATCATTTAGTTCAGTAGAAATAATTTATAAATGAAAGTGTATTATACAGACATATTTTAAAAAGCATAATAAAAGTGGCAACAACACAAAAATGACTTTTAAGTTTAATTTCAAGTTTAAATAAAATATTAATAAATAATAAATACAATTGTTTTATTATTTATAATATTTACTAGCCATTTCTGGGTTTTTAATGTATATAATTGGAGTATGTTTTGATTTGATTTGTTTGTTTGTTTCGAACAGAAATATCATACATAAAAATTATTTAACAAATGATGTTTATAATTGTAATATGTTTTATAATAGAATACTAACATTTGTACAGTTTTTTTTAGCCTGTTGTTATCTTGATTTAGTTTTTTCATGTTTTTCTGTGTATTTTTATAAGCTTTATTTTCATAAATAAAATTTCTACTACTTGATTAGCCATCTTAGAAATAATTAAATTTTTCATTTAGTTTAGTGGAAATAAAATATAAATAAATGAAAGTGTATTATTCAGGCATGTTTTAAAAAGAATATAAAAGAGGCAACAACACAAAAATGACAATTACAAATAAAATGAATACTAATTTAAAGCTTAAATAAATTAATAATAATAATAATAATAATAATAATAAATATAATAGTTTGATTATTTATTAAATTTAATATATGTTTCTGGGTTGTTAATGTATATAATAGGAGTATTTAACATTTTTTTGTTTGTTTTTACAAAGGAATACTAATATTTATACACTTTAGCCTTTTATTATCTTGATTTAGCTTTTCCATGTTTTTTGTGTGTATTTTTATAAGCTTTATTTTCATAAATATGTAAATTTCTTTGAATTTTCTACTTTTATTTAAACTATTTGCTCAAATAAATAATTTTCTATAATAATATTATTACTACTACTACTACTACTGATAATAATACAACTAAAGCCATAAACCTAAGATAATTTCTGCTGTTCGATTTGCCATCTTAAAAATATTTACATTTTTCATTTAGTTTAGTAGAAATTAAATATAAATTAAAGTGAATTATACACTTTCATATATTTAAAAGAACAATAAAAGAGGCAACAACACAAACATGACTTAAAATCAAAAATGAAAACTAATTCAAGCAATAAATACAATAATAATTAATAATAGATTCACTTGTTTGATTATTTATGAATTTGACTAGCCATTTCTGAGTTGTTAATATATATAATTGGAGTATGTTTTACAATAAAATAGTATTTTATACAATATTTTCCCCTGTATCTTATTATTTATTATTATTTTATTGTGTATATTTGTAAGCTTTATTGTCATAAATATGTAAAGCACTTTGAAATTATACTTTTATATAATTTATTTTATAAACTAAATGATTCATAATAATAATAATTATTATAAGAATAATTCTTATTAATATTGTATTTTAGGATACTTATTTCATTGTAATTATTTGTAAAAAGGTCTATAGTTGTTTATGTACACCCTTCATAACAATATTGTCAGGTCAGACATGATAAACATGATTGAACAGACGGGTTATTGGATTTCTCAGACCCAGTTGGCAGAGGATGAAGCGGGATCTGATCCAGGAACAGATTGGATGACACAAAGTGTTGCATCAGTAAATCGTTTATCCGCCAGATGTCCGACACATGGACGTTCAAATACTAGCAGGACGATAAAACATGCAGCCAGAATATACAGTATATTAATGCAATGATCTCAACCTTCTGCAGCTATGACCAACCTAAATGTCCCTCCACTTTGCAAATTAAGTAGTCAACATTTGAAAGTTGCCGAATAGTTTTAGGACAAATTTGATGAAAGGTTTTGAGCCACTTCAAATGTTGACTACTGTATATTATTAACAGTAGTCTTGCGTGTGTGTCTGTATGGTTGAGTAACTCTTTTCTTTGACTCTTTCCACAGGTTTTCACAGTAAGACAGAAGTGAAAAAGGGAAAAAGCCAATCCTGGAACTGTGAATTGACTTTTGCGAACACTTGCAAGAAGCAGAAGTGAAATTAAAGAGATTTCCTGTCTATTTTAAAGACCCATCAGATGGAAATGCTATGCAGGTATCATCATCAACACCCCCAAAACTCATCACAACATCTAATTCCAGATCTCACCAGCAATCCAGTCATATTCCTGCTGTTGTTTTAGACCAGATGTTGCACTTTGTCTGTACCTCTGTCAAAACTACCTACCACTTACCACACAGTATACATGTGAATAGCTAGATGTCGATAATAGGGTCGAGCGAATGTCTGCGAATGCTCTTAAATATGCACCAGACGACAGAGAAGGAAGTTATTCTGAAGCTCACGAGCACGAAGACACACTGTGAACGATATAATGTGAATTTATGCGTGCAAAGTTACACCGTTTCTCCTTTAGGTCACGTTAAATACAGCATTTCTTCCCAAAAAAAAAAAAAAAAACAGAAAAAAATCACCTTTGTGCCTTGTTTTAAAAAGAGAGAGAGAGAGAAAATTGCTTGGATGGGTTTAGTTTTTATTTTAATATATATTCTAAATTATTTTCACACATGCAATATATATATATGCAATTGGAATTCAAAGTTATTTAGATTTCTTTTGTCAGATAATATTGTTTTTATTGTAAAGACACCGATCAGGTATGAATAAAGCAATAGCATTGGTCAGGACATGATGTGATCATCTATGCAGTCAGCTGACGGTGTGTAAATATAGTCTGGTGAGGGATCGAATAACTTTTTATCTTAGTTAATCTTGTTTTTCATCTGTTTGATTTCCTTTCACATCAAAGAAGGCTTTAAAAAGAATGACATTCTAATTCGGAATGCTCTCGGCTTCCGTTGGAACGCAACTGTTTGAAATTTGAATTTAAATGGAATGTTGCGAGATTCCGTTTCTCTTCAGTTCTGTTTGAGGACACTACCAGATGTTAAAGTGTTTCATTACAAAGAGGGATTTTATTTGTAGGGTTTGCATATTTTGTTATTCATTGATGTTTTATATTTATGTATGCTTGTGAATTGCATTATGGATCCTTGATCTCTGCTTTTGTCGAATTTGATGTCGAAAATTCAACTCTGAAGTGACATTTTAGTTTGAAACCGAGGCCATTTCAAAGTAATGATGCCATTGGATCATGAACATTGACTGCCTGTTGTTAAACTATTTCTGCACTGTAAAAAAAAATCCTGGTTGCCTTAAATTTTGAAGCTGAATCAAATTGACCAGTCCATTGAACTTTTATTATGTTAGACTGACTTGCATAACTTATAAAATTAAGTTAGAACATTATTAACTTGGTTTAATAAGTTACAATGACCTAAAAACATGTGCTGTCAGGACTAATTGATCAAATGATTTTTGATCATATGATCAGGAGGCGATTCAATCATAACTTCGAATTAAAACGGCGGTCATGACATTATTTATCAATATGTGGACCTTTTGGGATTCCCGGAGGCTATGGAAATTAAAAATGTAAAACAGCAATCACGTTAGGATCATTGTTAGTGTTTAAATCCCTAAAATAGTCTATACAAAATAATATACACTGTAAAAAATTACATAATGGGCGACACCTTGGCTCAGTGGTTAGCACTGTCGTCTCACAGCAAGAAGGCCGCTGGTTCGAGTCCCAGCTGGGCCAGTTGGAATTTCTGTGTGACCTTTGCATGTTTTCCCCGTGTCGGTGTGGGTTTCCCTAACAAGTCCAGACACATGCACCATAAGGGAATTGAATAAACTAAATTAGCCTTAGTGAATGTGTATGGATGTTTCCCAGTACTGGGTTGCAGCCGGAAGGGCATCCGCTGTGTAAAACAAATGCTGGAATAGTTAGCGGTTCATTCCACTGTGGCGGCCCCTGATGAACAAAGGGACTAAGCCAAAGAAAAATGAATGAATGATTGAAATGACATAATAAAAGTCATGACAAGAAATGTGTGTACGTTACTTTAACTTGATTTGGAAAGTTAGTCAGGTTTCAACTTTAAGTTGAACAGATTGTAACTTGATGTTTTAAGTTGATGCAGGTTGAAATGACTTATTAAATAAATTGGTTCAACTTAAAAATGTAACAAAGCAATATATTTGTATAATTATGTTTGTACAATAACCGGGTTTTTGTGGCGTGATTTAAAACACCAATTCAGACATCACTTTAAACTGTTAGGAATGTAAATAAAAGTCACTTTTTCTAACTTTTCAACATCAGAAGTGGTTGGAGAATTGATCAAGATCCCATAATGCAATTCGGGAGCATAAATAAAATGGGGGGGAAAAAAAACATGAATCATAAAATATTAAAAAACTGTTAATTCATGTGTATTTTTAGAGTGTAGCTAAACAATATACTGACATGAAGTTAACATTCTAGTCGACAATTTCCCGTGAACTGGACGTTTGTTTACCTGGTAAAACCAGGGAGTATTTGTTTTCTTTCATGCTATATTTTAGTATCATTTCAATTCAGTGTTCTGGTTTACATTTTCAGTGTGTCTACCTCACTTTCAGGACATCTTTAATGTCACGTTTCCTCACTATGTTACACCGCAAAAATGCAATTTTTAATTCTCTATTTTGTTTTCTAGTACCATGAATATTATTAAAGGGACAGTTCACTGTGAACAATAAATAGATTAAATGAAATATCTAAGATGTAGGTGCATTTATCTTAAGCGGAATTTATTATTTAATCCATTTTCTTGGAAAATAATACAGTTAATGACTATGTTTTTATCTGCAATTTGAAAAGAACTCCTATTATGCTGTGGTCACACCGGATGCAGCATGCACAAATATATCGCGTGTAAATAGACATGTGAACATTTTGAGTTTACTTCATTTTCACATCAAATTCGCTTAATTTGTGTCATATTTATTACACAAACAATGTGCGTGATGGGCAAGGCTTCTGTCTGCCCGGTGACTCTAGCTTCATTGCTTAATGGCTAACATGGATTTTATTGAGATAGTAATTGTGCTTTATGTGCTTTAGGAAGGCTGAAAAACAGCATAGATTCGTTCGGCGCCATGTCCGAGTCCAGTAGATCCTTTCAAAGGAGCACCCAGCTCCTTCATTCACCAGAAACTATACCTGGATGATGGAAGCTTTCAGGGGTGCTTTCGACTGAGCCGAGCACAATTTGATGAGCTGTTGTTCGGTGTTGACCAACAACAGGCACTACATCATGCATCATAGCTCCTGATTGGTTAATGCGGCGCAAAACTCTGTTAATGTTCCGATTTTCCAACTCGAGCAAATGATTTTCGCGAATCGCATCATTCGTACAGCCTTATTTAAACGAATTGCACCGCAGGATGTCTATTCGCATCTTTGCATTGACTTAACATGTAAATCACTCGATCTTGATGCTTCATCCGCATCTGGTGTGAACGCAGCATAAGAGATTTATATCATATAAAACAAATATCCAGGAAATCTGATAGTTTTCAAGTTTTCATATTTATTTATTTATTTGTTTTTCAATATTTTGCCCTGCACCTTAAATCATATCTTGTAATTAAGTTTCCGTAAGTGTTTTTCATTTATTTACGGTTGTGAATTGGATTATGGGATGTTGATCTCTGCTTTGTTGACTTTTGATGGTAAAAATTCAACTTTACAGTGACTTTTATTGACATTTGATTAGTTTGAAATCAATAATATATAATAAAATAAGTCTTTAGCAGAAGTATAGTAACATTACAAGGATTTTGTAGCATAGCATACAACACCAACGCAGACAATACATCACTTTAAACTATTAAAAATGTTAATAAAAGTCACTTAATCAAACTTTTCAAGGTTAAAAGTTGTTAGAAGAAAGATCAAGCTCCCATAATGCAATTCAAAAACATAATTAAAAACATAAATCTCAAAATATGAAATCTGCTCATTTACGGATATTTTTAAAGTGTGGAAAACAAGATGTGAAGGAGAAAAAAATCGTATTTTTGCAATCGTATTGTGTATTGCGTTTCTAGTTCAATCTTGATGTTCGCATTGACAGTAGCTTTATACATAACGTATTAAATGCATTTCATTGTTTATATTGATTCTTTAACTGTTACGGTAAAACCAACACAATCTCACGGCAATTCGTAACTTTTTGATTTGAGTGGCTAATTCGTATAAATCCGTACAATCTCATTCTTACAATTTAGCACTATTTGCTAATCCCTGAATGAAGGTTAGTTTTAGGGGCGGGGTTGGGTATAATGCCTCCTTTTTAAAATCGTACGGATTAGCCACTAAATTCCTAGTGAGATACGATTCCTAGTGAGATCAGGCTGTTAAAACTAAAGGTCTTTGCATTTGTCACCCACTCTGTGAGCTCAATATTGTTGAGAAATGTCTGATATACCTCTAATCTAGCACACTTTTCTTCAGGTTTTCTCTTCACGTTTTCACTCGTCGCTCTTTAAAGGATGCTTGGTGTTTGTATTGTTAGCGTAACACCTCGAAATACCAAAAAACCTCATAGAACTGGCGTTAGCAACATGTTTCTTGCCCCTCAGGTGGTTATTGTCAAATGTTTGCAGGTCAAACTTTTAAAAAACGACCTTTTTTGTCACTCCGTTTTGAAGAAAACTAACCTAAACTGAGATGTATATGCACATTAGCTGATCACTACGAACTGTTAGCTTTCTACTGAGTATCTGCTTTCTATCCTTTGGTGATTTGTTGGTGGTTTTCACAGATTTTTTTATATTATGTATTCTTGTTCGTTGTTGATATTGAACTGGGTTTGGTTTATGATGATCTATTTGCCATTTGATGTTTTTTGCAAAGCGTCTTCCTTCGGTGTATGTAGTCTTTTGATTGCTTGAAATAAAGACATAGAAATACAATCATTCTCTCTTGATTTTTGTGTGGTCATAATGTTGAATTTGATGTATTTTAAAAATCTTTTTATGCTTTATTTTGCATAAATTTGAATGTTTATCTTTATTCTATGTTAGCAGATCATGAATGAAATAAGTCTCATCTTAAAAATGTAAAACGCTGGGTTGTTTTTAACCCAACGTTGGGTCAGATATGAACAAATCCAAATGTTGGGTTTAAAAAGTATGATTTAAAACTTTCATATTTAATCCTATGTTGGGTTAAAAACAGCCCAGCATTTTTAGATTGTATGATATCATCTTTTTATCATTCGATTTAGTGTCATTTTTACTGTTATGATTTTTCTTGGCAGTTATGACTTGTTATGTTATCATTTTAAACTGCACTTGCACACCTTCCAGCCAATTAGAATTAAGAATTTCATCACATTACCAAAAATTCAGTTTGTTTAACCAAACGTTGGGTGAAATGTAGACAAACCCAACCATTGGGTTAAAATGTGTTATTTAAATATATTTAAAACTTGTCCATATTGTCAATATTGTCCATATTTAATCATATATTGGATTAAGAAGAACCCAGCATCATAATTTCA